CCCAATAGTTCATTTTTGCCCTCGCTTCCCTTGCCTTTGGTGATGTTCCTAGGAAGATGTTGCTGCGACTGAGGTCAAAGAGGTTGCTGCCTGTGTTCTCCTGAAGGATTTTGATGGATTCCTTTCTCACATTGAGGTCCTTCATCCATTTTGAGTCTATTTTCGTGTGTGGTGTAAGGAAATGATCACCAAAATACTAGCCAATAGGATTCAACAGTACATTAAAAGGATTATTCACCACGACCAAGTGGGATTTATTCCAGGGCTGCAAGGTTGGTTCAACATCGGCTTTTATGTATTTTTGAAGTGAAATCACCTTATAGATGGAGAAAAGCATTTTCTCCCATTTCCTCTGAACAGAGAGTCTCAGACAGTCCCAGAAGTAATGGAAGAAGCTTTGAGAAAGTTAGAGGGAAAGATGGATGGAAGTAGGCACTGGAGTGATTGAATCTAGTTTCTTGCTGTAAGTATTTTATGAGTAGGACACAAAGTATTTTATGAGTAGGACACAAGTTTCAATGAGGTGCTTTTAAGAAGTGATTTATTCATCCCTCTGATTATCATCACATCATGCATATAATATTCAATACAAATTCTGATTTATGAATATAAGTGAGTTACACAATACTTAAAAAAATAAACTGAGAATTGGATTGATAATGAAAAATTCTGAGTAAATGTACATATTTTAATTTTAGGACTGCATCTTAATCATTGTTTTATCCACATTCAGGATATAACAGTTTCCCATCATGACACGTGGCTCGGAATGTATGTGCTGGTGTCTTTCTACAATATCCAGAGAGACAGTCAAATTCAATCACTTCCCCTGTTGTAGAATATATTTTTGTCTTATAAGACCATTGAAATTTTATATTATGTCTTCTCATGATTTCTTCTGATACTATACAGGGCTCTAAAAAAAAAGAACATAAAATATTGAAAACAGAATTTCAGACTTTCAGATAGAATCTTCTACACTGGTCCAGGGCTTCATTTCCAAAACCTTTCTCAAACCAATT